AATTCCTACGAATGAGAAGATTCTTTTTTTTCCGAAAGGTGCAGGAATACGGCAAAAATTATTATCTCCTTGAGCTCTTCAAGTCTCTCGCGGAAAGACTTCCCCACTCCCATCTGGGAGATCCCAAAGAAAATGCCTGGAGTAAGGAAAAAAAAGTAGAGAGGGAGAGAAAAAGGAAAATGCCGCTGGCACAGACAAACTTGCAATTCAAAAATAATAAAAGGAAATGCTAGACCGAGGACACTTTCGTTTTTAGGCACACATCGAGGCACTAGTTGAGGACTCCTTCACGAAAAATCCCCTTGTAGTCCACCGGGGGACTATCGAAATCCTCCGGGGCATCCAGTGTGGACTGACAGTTAGCCATGTGGAATAGTGTGGACTTAATGTGGACTGTTGTGGGCTGATTTGGACAAGTCCACAGGGGGACTAATGTGGACATTAGAATATCCCCGTGTGGCCTCTATATGGATCCTCTTAATCCCCCTGTGGACCACATGTGGATCACATGTGGATTCATCCAAATCCTTCGGTGGACTTAGGATAGTCCACATGTATGGATTTTTCATAAGGGTTGGATCGTGTGCTCTTCGTGACAAGTGGGCACGCAACAAAGTGGACACACAAGAAATTGCACCACAGGACTCCAAGCATTTCCAATGAATAAGTAATTGATTTCTGCTTGTACCAACTTCAGTTGAAATTTTCCTCTCACAGCGTTCGGATTAACGAACTAAACGATTTTTAACTTTAGTTTAATAATGTGTGAATGTTAGTTGCCAATTAATCAGTCTTGGATTCTCTAATCATAAGTCTTCCTATGGAATCATGAACAGAAATTCAGCTCAAGTGAATTCCTAGCCCACGAAACAGATTTTCTTAAGGAATCACTCCACTCTCTCCTGCGACACAAGAATAGTGACAGGAAAATCAACTCGGAAAGAACCGGGGAAGGCGCACGATGTACCCAAGCGAGAGCATCAGCACCGACTGCATCCGGTGAGAATCGGCGGGGAGGCGAGCGGAGGACGAAACGAGTCCCACTGCGTTCTTATCCCTCGCATCCTTTTCAAGGTCAGACACGAACCCAGCGCTTCTCCCTCTTTTCTTTCTTTTAGTCTTTCGCTCCCAGACGTGTAGAAGGAAAGCCGGTCTCGGTCGTGGTCAAGATCACCGTGAATCACCCTTGGAGAACAACCGGTTTTGTCGATTATTGCATATGTAATATTGATTTTGTAAAAATATGCATTTGCAAGAAATGTAATGATGAGAGCATCCTGTCGCAAAGAAAATATGTTCCCAAGTCAGGTTTCTTTTTGCGTGCTAGTTCCAAGAAACGGATTCTTATTCTAAATAAGAATCTTTTTCCGAAAGCGATTGAGAAGAAGTACTGGATAACCAGAGTGATTAGAACGTACAGCTTCTCTTCGATAGTGATGCACTAATAGCTCACGGATTGATGAGGGCAGGTCGCGAAATGATAATGATCCATGTATCGTGCAGTATTTCGAATGGAATGGTGTAGTTTTTGAGTAATGAACCCAAGTAAGGAAAACCCGAATGAGATGGAAAATATCTTTCAGCGGAATCCCAATACCCACTATGAATTTTTGCTGACAATCAGAGGAAAGCACCTTTACAAGGTTTAGTCGGAGGGATCGATTCCGAGGTTTTTTTTTTCGAAACAGCATGTTTGCGTGAAAAAAAAATAGGAGACGTGGTTTCTTTTATGAATCACAATTTCCCATTTTCCACGCATCAGACGGAAACGCTGATTCTTATTCTTTAGTCGGAATTTCCTGAAATGATTTTTAAAAGAAAATAGTGTTCCGGGTTGTTCCAGGCTTGAAATCTGAATCGAATGCCAAGCTCTGGACGCGATTGCCCTTATCTGGTTGCCCTCAAGTCCGACTGACCTCGAGGGCACCCGAGGAGACACAATCATGACGTGAGGGAGTCCAGAAACAGGATTCATGTATTCTCAACATACATAATATCAAATAAAAGTATGAATACATCACTTTTCTATTATTTGGCAATCACGATGCTTCAACATACGGAAAGCTACCATTTGCGATATTTTGACCTATTTTGTCCTCTTCGAAGCCATCCAGCTGGATGAAGCGGGAGGAAACACCTCGGCAGACATCCTTCCCTCTTCCTCCCCTCCGAATCCTTCTTCGTTAAGAATCAAACGGAAAGACCTTTCTTCACGTTCGGGGGCCTCTCCCCCTGCAAGCTGTAGCACAGACAGATGCGTCGGCACTGGATCACGTTGTAGCAACAGGAGGGACACAAAGATCCCTCCGTGTCCCTCGGCGACAGGCACAGAAAGCCGACCGCGAGGAGAACGAGCCAACGCCGCAGACCCATCCGCAAAAGAAACGGAAGAACCCGCTTTCATAAGATCGAGTTGTACCGAAAGCGGGTAAATTCTGACGACGCGAAATACACCATTTGTGATGTGCGCGATAATCAGTCTCTCGTGCGGCTGCGCGGTCCCGATAAACACGAGCGGAAACCTATCGTTAAGGTCAATTCAACAAATTTATGATATTTCATAATCTTAACTTCGACTTCATGTAAATAAATATTTAAAAAATACTCAGCATGAGTCGCCTACCTCGGCACTGGATACGTTCTGATCGAGTCGACCGAATTCGTGTGGAAAGCTACAGGATTCGTTACTTTTGCGAAAGGTGAAGGGGGACCCGCCGCATTCATTCATCGGATTCTCTCCGCATCCTCCATCGTCCATCGGCACGAAGTCTCACGCAGATTTCATCTCCAGTTTTTCGAGTCTCTCTCGAATGATTTCGCCGTTCCCAAACTGGGAGATCCGGAGGAGAAAGCCGAGAGGAAGGAAAGTCGAAACTTTTGGCGCTGGTTTTGGAGAATGTCAAGGGAGGAAAGTAAGAGAACTTTCGAAACAAAAGGAAGCTGTCGTTGACGAACCTTCTCGTGCAAAAAAAAAAGGGAGCACGCGAGATATTCCGAACGAGAGAAAGTGTTGTTAGACCAAGGAGAAATCCTTTTTCTCCCTCACCGAGTTGAGGACTGGGTCGTGTGCTCCGTGTGTGAAAAGTAGGGATTCAACAAAGTGGGCACACAAAGTGGGCACACAAAGTGGGCACACAAAGTGGGCACACAAAGTGGGCACATAAAATTGGCACGCAAAAAGGGCATGCAAAATGTGCACCGACAGGAATCCAAGCACTTCCAATGAATGCGTGAGTGATTTTTTCCGCTCAGAAGAACGTCAGAAAGGGTGTTCTGATTTTCCCCTTCCAGCGTTAGGTTTAACGAACGAAGTCTTTCCTTAAACATTATTTCTGAAATAATTGCCTGTTAGTTACCGCGAAACCTGCCCCGGGTTCTCGAACAAGAAGTCCGAAAGAAATAGAAGCTGATTGAAAGCACCGCTCAAGGGAATTCCTATCCCACGAAACAGATTTCCTTCGGGTATCACACCACTCTACAAGACACGAATGACGACGGGGAGGCACCGCGGAAAGAACCGCGGAAGTTGTACGGTGTGCCCCCGCGAGAGCATCCGCACGGTGTGCCCCCACGAGAGCATCCGCACCGACTGCATCCGGTGCGAATCGGCGGGGAGGCGGGCGTAGGCGGGAGGAAGGTGGAGGACGAAACTGCGTTCTCATCCCTCGCATCCATTCCAACCACGCTTTCCTCTCTTTCTGTAATCTTTTTCTTTCCCCCGGATTAGTGCAGGGAAAGCCGGTCTTGGTCACTCTCAAGATCACCGAGAATTGACCGGAAAGGAAACCAGTTTCCTCCACGGTTTCATATATTACAGGTCGGTCTACCAAGGCGATTAATGAACTAAGGCTAAGCGACGTTGGAGCTTTTCTCCATTCGTTTTTTTTTTTTTGCCTCCATCGGAAGAGTGTGTCGTAAATCATATCCTTGCTGACTGGACAACAACAACTCCGAAAATACAGGAATTTCTTTAAGTTATGGGGATGTGTGCCATCACGAGGAAAATTACTCAGGAGGGAAGAATGGATCGCTCCGTCAATTCCGATTTCGTGCAACCAGCGTTTTCATTTCCATTAATATATTTTTACTTATCGAGTACGCTTTTCAAGTCTGGAAATGAAATGCACCCATTCATCAGAAACGCCACGATGACGACATCCAGTCGCAATATAGCCTGTTCCTAGCCAGTTTTTTTTTTTGCGCGCCTGTTCCAGGAAACGGATTGCGATTGGGAAGACGCGATTCCCTTCTTTCCATGCCGAATTCTCCGCCTCGATCTTACGGAAATCCCCAGCTGCGGAGATCCGACCCAATTAGTCGTCAGCAGGCCGGCATTTCCCCCCCAAGTTCGGCGAATCCAGGAGAGACACCTAGCGAGCGAAATCCTCACTAATGCTGAAGGATCCCAAGGACTCGTGGAGCGCCACCCCTCTCGAACGGCGGAACTCCCACTTCCCTACGCGACGGCGGATCCACAGAAAGGCATCAAGCAAACGCTTCGCGGAACTCAGTCTTCAGGCATCCTTCTCCGGGCAGCCCGAGGGCCGCGTCCTGGACGGGAATGCTGATGATTGGACGAATGGCGTCACGTGACCGCGGCCGATCACGTGACCCTGACAGCCCTTTGCACGTCGGCGACGACACTCGTTGGTCTGGCTTTTTTTCCTTTGGCGACTGTGTTTTCTCCGTTTGTTGAAATGGCACCAATAATTCGGTTTCAGCGACTCTTACCTCATAGACTGCAACTGCATCGCTTCTGCAGACTTTTCTTTCGTGGTTTCTTGGAACTTGAAGAAATGCGAAGGATTCTCACACTTTTTATTTTTGCTTCTTCACGTTTGCTTTCATTTTCTGTTTCGTTCCTGAACATTTTCTGGCGTCCGACGTCATCAGTCGACTCGACTCCTTATTCTACAGCCGTCAAGGAAAAAAAAAAAGTTCTCTGCGTTGCAGTCGCGTCTCCAATAAAATGTACGAGAAGAAGAAAAAAAGTAAAAACGTCCCACGTGAGCTGTTGCATCTGCGACCTTCATTTCCTCACATAAATAAACGCAACACGAAAGACTTCAACCGAAAATACCTTCTTTTCTTCGACCTTTTTCTCCATCGTGCAAGGTCGAGATGACCCAGCCGACCCATTTTTCTTGTGGGGGCGGTCTCCGAATCGGCCCCGAAGGCTTGGGAAGAGACCGGCGACAGGAAATGGAAGCGAGTGTGTAGCGGCGAGTGGTAATGCGTTTGGGGCCGTTGTCTCCGGTCGGATGTGGGTCGTGTTTACCTGAGTGCATCGAGAAGATGCATTCCATGGACCGGAATGCATCTTCTCGATGGATTCCGTCGGTTTGAAGACAGGAAGGTCTGCTACCTCTCTCGCCGACTCGATGATGACAGAGTTTTCGGAATGGGGAAAGAGAGGAGGCACCGAATTCATGGGGATTCTATCACGGATTTCTTCTGAGAATGCGTTTTCCTCAGCGTCTCCTGAGCATTATTTGAAAGCCGGGTCTCTCGAACCGCACCTCGCACAGGCACATGTACCGACACTGGATGGGGTACTTGACGTAGCAACACGGGGGACACAGCTCGGAGAACTCCGTGTATGCCCCCGATTCCCGCTCGGGCCGGCACGTGCACCCGAGGGCGAGAAGCAGGAACCACGACCGCAAGTCCATCTGCACGGAAGTCAACGAAACCGGTTAAATCGGAAATTCCCCACCCCCGCGACAGGAAGCTCCAGTCGAGAAACAAAATCGCGGAGCGAGCTTGGAATCACTGCGAGCACCTTTTCGACGGCGAAGAAGGAAAGGACAGCGACAACCTTCCTCTCAAGGTCCGGCGTGGCCTTCGTTTGCGTCTCTTTTTTCCTCCCCCGCGTGATCCCACGACGAAGCCGGTCTTACCGGTCAGTGTCGACATCGCGGCGATGACGTGCGTGCTGTTTTCACCGGATCGTAATCGCTTCTCTGAGGTTAGAGCTGGCGACTACGATAACCTCAAATGCCTCGTTCTTTTAAGTTCGAATTTTAAATTACCACAGCGGACCCCAGGCAGCTAGAGGAAAAACCGAGGAGGACTTTCAGCTCATCCGGCCGACATCCAGCCGACAAACGGCCAACAAACGGCCGACATTCTTTGTACGAAATAAAATTCTTCCAGGTGTTCTTCCTCGAAGGAAAAGGAAGGCAAAACTCAACGACGATGTGAGGGAGTCCAGAAACGGCATGTTTGTGTTCTCAAATTCTACACGAGGATTTCGACCGTCACTCTTTATTGGCCTAGCATGCGAATATTCAAAATCCAGAAAACTTCTATATCACAGACTTTGATGTGAATTTTCCCAGATTTTCTACAAGTCCGACTCGATTGAAAAAATACATTCTCGTAAGTTCACGTCAGGTTGGGAAACTCGGTCCCTGAGTCCGGGGATTTGGGAAGGAGAAGTCGAAGTCACCGTTCGAAGCCTTGGATCGAAGTGGGAGAAAATGTCTCAGAATTCGTTTCCTCTTCTTCGAAGTTGCAGTGCGGATTTCCTCTTCCACCCCTCCGAGTCCATCCATGCCTCGTAGCTGGGACTCCGATCGAGACATCGCGGTTTCTTTTTTTATGGTTGATCGTTGTCGCCAACGTCGCCCATCATCCCCCTTTGGCCCCCATTGCGGGACCGTTTCTCCTCGTGGAGACCTTCGCACACGCAGATGTGCCGACACTTGTCCGGGAGTCTGTCGTAGCAACAGGGGGGACAGAGCATCGGATCTTCCTCCATGGCCCTCACGGACAGGGAGAGAAGCCCGAAAGCGAGGAGAAGGAACCACCACCTCAGATCCATCTGCAACAGAGAACAAGAGCCCACTCACAGAACAATCGAGGACACGCATCGCGAACGGAAAGCACCCTGGAGAAATGGAGAATCGGGAAGCACGGACTGCACCCGCGAGAGAGCATTCCCACCGACTGCATTCACTGAGAATCGGCTGGATGCAAGTGGAGGAGGAAGGGAGTCTCACTGCGCTTTTATTCACATTCGGGGGCCGCGTCCTTTTCAAGGCCCGCGAACGGATCGGACACATTTCCTGGTTCCTTTCCTCTTCTTCCCGTAATTGGGGAAACCGGTCCTGCTTGTCATGGTCAAAATAACGGCGAACAATCTACGTAGGAAACGTGTTCATTCCATATAGTAGTAGTAAATAGATTTTGAGTCACTTTTCCGATATTACTTTTCGGTTGGATCCCAAATTTCTAAAAGGTGACAGAGGCAGCAAGGACAACTTAAAACTTACTAAGATATTAGCTGCGAAATAATTTTCACTGCGGCACTTGAAATGACTCATTTTAAAAGAGAGAAAATTGTCAGTACTTTCACTTTTTGTACTGGTTACCTCAAGGGAGCCAGGGAGCGTTACACTTTCCTGGAGCAAGACTGGATTTTGGGTGGACTTGCAACTCGGCAGCAACCGGACCAGCTGGTTTTGAAAACGAGGTTCATTGAACGCGTGAAAAGAATGTACAGGGATAAAGGGATTGATAAAATGTGTCCAAACCTTTTTCTCTACTTGTTATTGGGAGGAATGAACTTTCGGGGTTTCGACTGGGCCACCTGGGCACGATTGGGGAGAGACTCCGACATCGACGAGGCGCGAAAAGGCAAGAAAATCGCCAGGTACGGGTTGGGAACGTTTCACAGACCGTTTCGCCGAACGACCGTTTCCTAGAAATGGTATCTTTTCGCAGAACAAGAGTAATTATCCTCGGCGCCTTTTAGCGGCTTCCTTCAGTTCACTTCCGCTGGTTCCTCTCACTCTGTTACCTTTGTCGGGAGCGTGATCGGTGAAGTTCAGATGGAGGTTTTACGAAGTCCGTTCTATATCTTGTAGGGCGTGGAAGGGCACCCACATGAATGCAGCGCCAATATACCCTTCCGTTCTCTCCTCTCTTGTTTCAGTTGAATATACAGCCTCCCACCTTTATACAACCTCCCATCTTTAATTGATGCCAGCCGGGTTTCGAAGTCACTAATTCCAGTGTCAAAACCATAAATGGCATCGTCGCTGTGCAAGCTTCTGCAAGTGAAGCTTAGAAGCCGTCAAGCTGAAAGACCTTCGGCTCGACTGATGCTAACAGGCCCTGTCGAGCAAACGACTTTCTAGGAATCGATCCTCACGGGTAAAACCAGTTATTCCGCGAAGCGACTTGTCTGTGAAACGGAGCTTTCGGTGAATCGGTTTTCCCCCGGTCCCCCAGCCACGGGAATTTCCCAGATGTACCTAAAAAAAAAAATCTCTGCTCTCCTGGCTAGGTCGAAAAGACGCTTGGCTCGCTTGGAGCGCTGGGGCCCTCATCATCATCTTGCGTGTTTCTTCATCGTTGGAGGAAGGCCTCTTTCATGCAGGATGTCTCGAGATGCTGGGATCCGTTCGGCTCGTGAACGAAAGTTGTTTGCGTTGGGACTTAGTCTTGGGCGGTTCGAGTCGCTTGGTTCCGGTCCGGGAGTTATTCCATCTTTCCTCTCGCGGTCGCGTTCATTCCGGTTTCTCTTGTTGGTATGAATCGTGACCTGGAATCTTGTCTGTGTCCCAGATCCGACACGTTTTTCGTCTCTTCCGGTAATTTTCTAACATGGGTCAGAAGTCTCAGAACACAGGCGCCTTTCCCTTCAGCTGCGTCTTCCTCTTCGACGACGGGCGTCTGTCTTGGCAGGCACTCCATCTCTGTTCGCTTCGTCGTGGGAGGGGACCCCGTGGCAGATTCTGCTCAAACCGCTCAAGTGCATGTGAGATGGCATTTAATAGCAGAACTCTTCTTGTCGATCGTCTCAGTTTCTTCATGCATTCTTAAAAAGGCATTTCCTTTCCTACCGGTTCTTAGGTAATCGCGCTACAATGGAGAGAGACTCTCTGAAGATGATGAATTCATGATCTGAAAGCCAGTTTGGTGAAAATGTGCGCCACGTTACCTATCCACTTTGGTAAGGACTTTTAAAAAAGTATCCGTACAGGCGTGGAGGGCTTCAACAGAAGGAAATAGACTATCACTGCCGTCCTTCCGTCGCATTTTCTTCCGACGCGTACAGTGTTGGCACTTTTTGGCAATTGTGTTTGCAATTGGCGACAACATTGCTTAGAGGGATCCTATTTTAAGCTGGAAATGGTTCGGAAACTTCTCACACATTATGAAGATAACGTTGAACGACATGGGTTCCTCTGCCAACGGACTCGGACCAGTCTTCCCTTTTTCTTCTCTGGCATTTTTGTTCATTTTTGTGATCGTTCCTGTTCCTACAATCTTGTCAGTCGTGGATCTACTTTTCCATGCCCTAATCCATCATACTCATGGCGTTGGCTTTGGCCGATGTTAATACCGGGACCCAGCGATTTTACTCCCTAAAAGCGAGGAAGTACAATTGATAACTACTCCTTTGTGTCAGCAGAATCCATAACTTTTTTATAAGCGCGAAACGAAGGGGTGAGAGTACTTTCCAAGCCAGTGGAAAAAGTTGGTGGCTATTCTCAGGAAAGAGAGAGGTGAGCGGCTGCACTTCCGAGTTTTTGAGGAGTAAAATCGCTAACTCCAGCTTCGCTCCATTTTTTTTTTGGAAATCGCTCACTCTTTTCTAAGAGTGCAGTGGACGACGAGGGCCGTCCGCTGCCCGATTGGGACCGACCTCGAGGTCGACACAGTCTTCGAATCAGGTTATTTCCTGATCAATATTTAACACTGTCGGGCCTCCGTTCGTGGAACGACAGGAATCGTTCACAGTTCATTGGGTTTGTTCAACCTTTAATTGATAGAATAAAATTATAAGCTTTAAAATTATAAGTTATATGTCTGACTTGAAAATTAATACTCTTGAGTGCGGAAACAGAAGTAAATGCAGGTGAGAAAGCAATCGTCATTGTTTGCTGTTACTGAACTGGGTCGAGAAAGAAGAACGACAATGTGAGAGAGTTCAGAAACCACAAGGTTGTAATCTCATCAGAATTACGTCCGTCGCTCTTCTATTTTCTAACGGGCACAACTTCAGCATGCAAAAAACTTCCATTTCTCATACTTTTATGCGAGAGTTACCATCTCTTCGTATTTGGGAGGGGGAACTTGACGTCACTGTTCCAAGCCATCCACCTTGATTGGGGAAGAAGAAAAAGTTCTCTGAATCCTTTTCCCCTTCTTCTTAGTCCCGCCACGAGTTTCCTCTTCCTCTCCTCCAAATCCATGCAAACCTCGTGGTTTGGACTCCAATGCTGACATGTTGGTTTCTTTTTTCTCCTTTTTCTTCTCGGGAATAACTGGACGATCGCTTTCTCCAACTTCCCCATTGCCAATTGTCCCCCGTCGACCCCCCTTGCGGGACGGTCTCCTCCCCTGGAAGCTACCGCACAGGCAGGCGTGTCGGCACTGGACCGGGAGCCTGTCGTAACAACAGGAGGGACAGAGCAGGGGATCTTCCTCCGAGCCCCTCACGAATAGGGAGAGAAAACCAAAAGCGAGGAGAAGGAACCACCACCTCAGATCCATCTGCAACAGAGAATAAGAGCCCACTCACGTAACAATCGAGGACACGCATCGCGAACGGAAAGCACCCTGGAGAACTGGAGGATCGGGAAGCACGGACTGCACCCGCGAGAGAGCATTCCCACCGACTGCATTCACTGAGAATCGGCGGGATGCAAGTGGAGGAGGAAGGGAGTCTCACTGCGCTTTCATTCGCAGTCGAGCCCGCATCCTCTTCAAGGTCTGCAAACGGATCCAGCGTTTCCTTATTTCTTTCTGCTTATTTTTAAATGTCATATCCCTTTTTTGCGTCGCGGGAGGGAATGCCGGCCTTGCCTGTCGGGATCAAAATAACGGC